CGGGTGCTTGTGACTCGTGACTGATTTCCGAGCTGGGTCCCCAGCTTCTGTTCCATTAACAAACCATATTATTCAGGTATTTCTAAAGTGACCAACGGGCTTGTAAATATTGTAAAAAGGGACTTCATGAAAAATCACGAGATTTGAATTAAATAAGGGTTTTAAACAGTGGGAGGGGTGAGTCTTTGATTTAGTCCAGAAAGCAGAATTACTCTGCTGGAGACCCCCCCCCACCCCCGTGCCTCTCAGGATATGGCCGTCAGACACAAACACGTCAAACACGACACATGCTATTTGCCTAAGAAGCGACTGTCTTTAAAACATGGAGCACAGAAAGGCTTGGGCAGGGTCTGTAAACTTCTCTCCCAGAAGGACTTCTTTTCATTTCGGGGTGGGGGCACAGCCGATGACTCATGTCGGGCCTCTGTAAACACCACAGCCTCCGCATGCACAGTCAGGCTTGGGGGCCGTTACAGAATTTGCAGATGCCCACACCCAGATTCATTGATGTCCCACTCTGACATGTCCCTCCTCCCCCTGCTGGCACCACAGGTTAAGCCCGGTGCAAAAGTTCTACTCGTCCTCCACCGTCAGGAAGGTGTATGACCCAGTCGTCCCAACAAAGGGTCCCCCGGTGCTGGCCGAGCTCCCCCAGGGCTATCACCACCTGTACACCCACATAGAGTACGAGTGTGCCTCCCCCTTCTACCACCACTCTGGCAGCTCTCACCGCACGTGTCTCAAGACGGGCAAGTGGAGTGGGCGTCATGTCTCCTGCTCACCAGGTGAGGGCAGCAGAAACTATGAATTGACAGCTATTCAGAAGTAAGGCATGGATTTCCTGTACAGTACCCTTTATACAGCCTCAGGGACTCTAGTGATGAAAACACAATATTATCAAGCCTTTAGGTGTACTCAGTAAAAAGATTAAAATAATATTATAATCTCAGGTGATTTTACCGGGGGTGAAATTGCACCCCCTGTTGGTCAAATGAAAATGCAATTGGAACATATTAAGTTAAATAAAATTTATTATATTTTGAAGTTATATTTGGAGAAGAGGTTTGTGCTAGTCAGATCAGTGTGTAATAATAATTTATTGTAAATGTATTTCCTATATATTTATCTTAATGAATGAGTGACTGGAGTCTCTCACCCTGCATACCCTGGGAGAGAAGCCTGGAGTCACATGTGATTGTAATATGGGTTCAGTGAGGCGTCTGGGGTGCTGATGGTGGCTCTCTGTGTGCCTACAGTGTGTGGGAAGCTGAGCAGCTTCAGCGCGCGGAGGCCGGCCGACACACTCTGGCCCTGGCACGCTGCCATCTATAGGCGCTCCAGCGCCGGTATCGCTTCCAGGATCGCCAAGAAGGAGAGCCTGGCGGCAGGCCTGGGGAAGGGGGCCCTTGGGGGGAAAGGGTCTCTAGAGGCGGCCGTGGCGGGGGCGGATGAGGAGGAGGAGACCGGGATGGGCGGCTGGCAGCTGGTGTGCAGTGGCGCCTTGGTGAACCAGCGCAGCGTGGTGGTGGCTGCCCACTGCGTGACAGAGCTGGGGAAGGCGCACCCGATCATCCCCGCCGACGTCAAGGTGGTGATGGGGAAGCACTACAGGAGCGAGCTCAGGGAGACCAAGAGCCTGCAGCACCTGCGGGTAGGAGGGGCTCTGCTGAGTGGGGGCGGGGTCACGCTGCCGTTCACGTGATCTGATTGGCTGGCATGCTACCGAGGTCAGTGCCCATGACCCAGGGCTAAGCTGCTGTGTAACAGCAATAGCATAGTTTGTGTCATTATGGTTTAAAATATAACCTAGGAGTTCCTAAATGCACGGCAAGATAGTACAAAATGTGCCTTAGAGTAGGCCAGAGGACCACATTTGGCAGGCCTCTGCTTGGCCTGATAACATGAAACCCTACATTTAAAGAGAAGTTTAATAAATTATACATTCCTTTTCATCTGAGGCTTTTTTTTATGATGAAATGTGCTCCCGTCCTGCTCCCCAGCTTGGTGTTCAGCTGTAAAACAAAAGAGATACATGCAAAAGTGATTGTGAAAGAAAGAGTTGGTAGATGGTATCCATTCAGGGATTTTCTAGGGGGGTAGGGGCAGCTTGATTTGTAAGTCCGTAGCTGCCCCCCCCCACCCATAGTGCATGTTGGTCCCTGTGTGTGTAGGTGTCTGCTGTCCTGGTCCACTCTAACTACGACCCACTGGTGCTGGACTCGGACCTGGCGGTGCTGAAGCTGCTGGATAAGGCGCGGGTGGGCGAACGCGTGCTGCCCGTCTGCCTGCCCGACGTGTGGGAGGGCCAGGCGGCCGCGCACCAGGCCTACGTAATCGGCTGGCCCATCCTGCCAGGCGCGGGCGGCACGGAGGCCGAGGGCACGGCGCGGGCGGGCCTGGTGGAGCTTGCCGACATGGTGGCATGCGAGCGGCAGTTCGCGCAGCACGGTGCCGCCATCGGCGTCACAGACAACATGCTGTGCGGCCGGCAGCACCCGCGCGCCCTCTCCGACATCTGCCCCGCCGACACCGGGGGCATCGTCATCCTGCCCGCCCCCGATCACCCCGAGGGCCTTGAGGAGACCCGTCGCGTTTGGACCCTGCTAGGGCTGGTGAGCTTCGGCTACGATCGGCGCGCCTGCAGCCCGGAGCTCTACACCGTCTACACGCGCGTTTCCAGCTTCAAGGACTGGATCCAGAGGAACATGAAGTAGGGCTCCTCACGGGTCCCTTCTCAGTCCTCGGATCAAGCTGGGGCCTCGCTAAATTAAACGGCAACACTGGACCCTGGGGCCCTGGTTTAACAAGCAGCGGTGGAGATAACCGGCCTTCTCACTTGGTGCTCGTGACTCGTGACTGACCGGGGGGCCGGGTCTCCAGCTTCTGTCCCATTAGCATACGCCACAATGTACATATACTGAACTGTATTATTCAGATATATCTAAGAAGACCAACGGGCTTGTAAATATTGTAAAAAGAAACTGTGTGAAAAATTATGAGATCTGAATTAAATCTGTGTTTAATACAGTGGGAGGGGTGAGACTTTGATTTAGTCCGGAAAACAGAATTAGTTTGCTGGCAGAGCCCCCCCATGTACCTCTCTAGAGCTCCACAGGCCTCATCAAGCACAACGCATCTTATTTGACAATTTATTTTTGAGTAACTGGAAGAAATCTATTGAATTAAAATTATTCGTTTTGCATAGAATATTGTTCGAGCCCAAGTCCAAAGATGAACATTCAGTAGTGTGAGGTGAGCTGGAAGTGAGTCATTTATGTATGATGGCTAAGTGATTAGCACTGTGGTATCACACCTACACAGGGATTCAAATGCCAACTTCCCTTCTGCATGTATTTCCTGTGTTTTGTGTGACTTTCTTTTAGCGGATCAATAATGGCAGTCTGGGTACTTTAAATGTTGGTAAAAGTGGTTTATACATGCTCAGTATGATACATGCTCACTTTGGCCAGTAGTTTCCGTCAAATAAATAAAATGTAAAATGTAAACACAAATTGCTCCAAAAATGAATACTGGGGCATATCAGTGAATTTCAGATCTGCATTTTGTAAATGCCCATAGTTGCTGTTAAGCTTTTTTAGTAATTCAGGCTAGTTTTACATTAAGTGGATGTTTCATTTTTATCTAGTCAGGATTGCATCACATCCCTGATATTTGCTGCTTATATAAGTAATTTCTCATTGTACACTAAATGTTCCTTGACCAGAATGTGTCACTTTCATGCTGAAAAAGATAATCTGCTAAGCACCCTCTTGACCACTAGATGGAAACATCAAACAGCAGCAACTCACAGCTTTGTAGAAGCATAACGAGAAAAATGGCAAATTTCTCTTGTGATTATTCTGTTGTTATGGGAAGACTGGGATCTGGGCGACAAAGACCTCGCTTCAGGAAGGTGACTGTGCATTTAAGCACCCCAGCCTGAGCTGAATCACCAAAGGGAAGCTGTACTTGGAGCACACTGAGTACGAGGAGGATGATTTGTATGTTTATTTGGGGGGTGTGGACATTGCAAAACAGAGGGAGGATTTCCCCAATCATTGAGAATAAACAAACCAACAATTCTGGAACCGGTAAGTTGGCTTAGCACACAGGGGAAAGGGGACCTGGATTTTATTATTGATGGGGGTTTAGGGGGATAATTACACAGTAAAACTATTTTCAAAGACAAACAAAAGATGTAATTTTGGGAGTGACTAGGAAACTGAACGAAGTAGGTGTGTGATGTGATTGGAAATGTCAGCATTTGTGCCAGTCCAGGCTTACAGGGGGGTATATGACCAAGAAAATAAGGATCAAGTGGCTGACCCTCCTCTGACAGAGCCCCCACCCCAACCCCCCCCCGCAAGCAAACTCCACATTGACATGCTTCATCTGATGGGTTGTGTTTCCTATTGATCAGTAACTGACATTCCCTTCGGACAACTGTGGTGGGAACACATGGAGACTACTTCCATCTGCCCCGTCTGTACTAGAATATATCAAAAGAACTTGCAGTTCCCTCAACCTCCCCCCCTACCCACCCCGCTTTGCCAAGCTCCACCACTTGTCAGATTTCATCCACTGCAGTGGGAATGTAAGGTTTCTCAGGCACCAGTTCTCTATAGACGTATCAGCTATAGGATAATGGTGAACACTTACTACACACCCAATGGACTAAGGACAGGCAATGGAGCAGCAAGCTGCCGAGGCCCCGTGATAGCTTGTGAAATGCTGCAGGAGGGTCCCATCATCTACTATGGAACGGCAGAAGGTCACCATACCTCACATTGTGCAAAACAGAGGGAGGATTTCCCCAATAGGTTCCATTCATGGCCCACAATCAAACACTACTGCAATACTAATGTTAACATTATTGAGTGGAACCCTGCAACTGACAACAAGAGATACACTTGAGGTTATGCTTGTTCTAAAGACAACGCCTAGTCCACAGGCACCGGTGCATCTTGGATTAGACAGAGAGAAACGGAGAACAACCTCATGTAATTTCCATGGGAATGGACCCCCATGGGAGAGCTGCCATTTTCTAATTTTCACTTCACTTTGCAGGTGCCTCGTTCTCTTGTTGTTACTCCCATCTTTTCCGCTGTAGGTCGAGGTGGGGGTTTGCTCATCAAGTCATTACTTGTGTTCCCCCCACGAGCCCCAAGTGACCCCAGTTCATTTGCCGCATCCATAAATAAGGAATGAGACGGCACATAGACGCACACACATGCCAGGTCACATGACATGAGATGACAGCATTATTTATTGCGTTGTGTGTTCTTGGCTCTGCTCTGCCTGCAAAGCATTTCATGAATTTTGGACCTTGATTTCTCACGTGGGAATTTCCGGAGATGATCAACAGTGCTGGGTTCTTTCTGCCTCCCTCCCCCCGAACACGACGGGCCTCTGTTCTGTCTCCTTTGTAGTCAGATGGAGACGGTGCCTCTGTCCATATGCTTTGCTGCATCTTCCCAAACCCCCTGACCCCTGTGTATGACCCAAGAGACCAAGCTCCTGTTCTAATATAAGCAGTAAGCTGCCTCCATAATTGCCCGACCGTGGCCAGAGGCACTGCAACCCCTTCGATCTGCTCAATTTTCACATGGATCCTGTTTTTAGGCAATTGGCCATTGCTTGCCCCCCTCTTCCCCCAAGCACATTATAGACACATGAGTGTAAATAAAACTGCAAAATCCGTTACTTGCACTGCTCAAACTATTGAACACAAGCCCTCAGGGAATAATGCAACCCCCCCCCCCAGTCAATACAACAAGGTACCCTTTGTGTGACATTGAGCTTCACTGGTGTAGCAGATGTGGAATCGTTAAGATGGTCCAGAGCAGCTCTTAAATGGACATGTCCTCCCTTGCATGAACATATCGCACATGTGAGGAATCAGAAGATGGCCGGGTACCTCCCTGTGGCTGGGGGAATCAACTGTGGCCATGATCTCAAACCCTTGGTCACGCATGTCCAGAACGGTCAACTTTTCCCTTGGATTTTTCAGTGAAGCCTCTGTCAGGGAAGCCAACTACCGACTCACCCACACTCCCCACTGAGAGAAAATCTCGCCCCTCCCCCCCACCCTACCCCGCTTTTACACACCAGCATTTATATTTCACTTTCATTTAAATCAAGTGATTTTGGATACCTCAATAGGAAAATGCTTATGTAAGAGAGTCGTACATTATTCTTGGCTTTGAGTCTGGTAAAGGAAATCACACTTGGCAAATGGAACAGATGTGGTTAATCCCCTATCAGAGTACTATGCACTGGGAAAGAGAGGACCAGTTGGGATGCCATAAATAGCTGACACGTGATGAAAATGGTCCCTGACTAGGTTTTATTAGTGGCATAGTGGCAGTACTACAGTATCCCCCTGGAAACTAAAAATGATTAAAAATTGTGTTCCATTATATTTCAAGCAATTATTCAAATTACATTGAATGTGTGCTACTGTTGTACATAAATATTGCCATGATCACAGCAGATGAGGTGAACTTTGGGTGTCCAAATTATTGTACAGGCAGTCCCCGGGTTAAGAATGCTCAACTTAAGAACAACTTGTACTTAAGAACAGAACAGACTGCCATAAAGCCTATAATATTAACAATTTGGGTTAAAAGCAAGTGCACTACTCTGTGACGCTCGTACAAACATTGCACAGTTTCAGTGGTTCATCGGCTCAAGATACAGTACAGGCTTAGGGAATGGATCTCATTGATAACCGCGGCACTGCTTGTACTTGTAAGCCATTAAAAGCTGCACATCTCTCTGTTCTATCATTCTGTGAGATATATCTAAAAATGTTTTACCATCAACTGTCATATCTGTACTCACACGATACACGCTAAACTCTTTCTCTGTTGTTTGCAGTCTGAAGTAATAGAAGACCATTTAATAATGCTTTTCCTCTTCAAACAAATCTTGTACTGAATGGACCAGTAAAAGACTAGCTTTGTTTCAATTTTCTTGACAAAAACAGTTTATCAGGATCTGTCCATATCAGGCCCGTTATGCTCCTATTTAGCCAACAGATGCCACTGGCCATCTTGTTTTATCCCCCTCTTGTTACTCTCACTTGTTCCCTGTTACTTGTAGTTCTTTGTGTTTAGTTAAGTATCAGTGGCTCGCACCTGGCTGTCTTGTAACCATTATTATTAGAATATATGTGCCTGCCGATGCCCCATTCCTTTGTCGGTCATTGAGGGCAGTGTGTGGCTAAGGGGGCTAAGTCTATATGCCTGTAATCACAAGGTCGGTGGGTCAAACCCCGCCTCAGCATCTCTGGAGTTCCTTGAGCAAGGCCCTTACCCCCCAGCTCCCTGGGCGCCCCAACAGGTGGCTGCCCTTCACAGACAGCTTACTCTACAAAGAGTAAGTTGAGGGAGGAGTAAATAAAAGAATTTCCCCATGGGAACGATAAAGGACCGATTATGATTGTAGAAGTTAGTGGTGTGCATTAGTCCCCACTCATGGTTTACTGTTGTTCCATGTTAGTATCGTTTGTTATTGCTTTCCCAAACCAGTCCCTGTGTCTAATCCTAACCCTAATCCTAACCCTAACCCTAATCCTAACCCTTGTCCCTGTCAGTTTTTCCTCCCTGCCTCTTGTTTGAACTTCTTGCTGTCCTATGGTGTCTGGTTCTATGTGTGTTTTGTGTTCATCAATAAAATCCCCTTCAGGTCATTAAGCTGCATTGGGATTGCCACTCCCTGCCCGCATCTACACACAATATTTTAGTTAGATTTCTTCAAACATTGTGTTTGCAGTAATAATGAATATCAGCTTTCTATTTCCTTGAAACTTGGCTCTGTGAGGAATGTTATGTCTTACTTAGGGTACCTTTGTCCCCTCTTGGCAGAGACATCTAACTTCTACATCTATCTTGACATAGAATCCACACATAGCATCAAAACAGGTCCTAGACTTGACCTTAGTGTGACTCTGATGACACACTCCACCTTCACAGTGTCCAATGGAAAGCTTCACACAGTGAAAAAATATAATTCAGAGAACACTCC